GTGTTTATCCTATGGAGCCTCCAAGCTAGTCTTAGGAAAAATGTTTCCGAAGTTATAACTATGTTGTTGTTTTTAAGTGCCTTTGAGTCAGTTCCGACTCATAACAATCCTGTATAGGGTTCCCAAGGAGCAGCTGAACTGCCGACCTTGTGGTTCAAACTGACCTTGCGGTCCAGTGTTTCATCCTACAGTGCCACACCAGGACCCCAAAACTAACAATAGGGATATTGTTATTAGAAAATGATACATTTCTGCTGAAACACCACACAAAACTTTTATAGATGTCAGCTCCCAGCAGTGATCCCAATGTGATCCACACCCACCACCCTCAGAATGGTTTCATGCTCTCTAAAGAACAGGGAAATGCCTGTGATCTTGTTTTGAAAACCGATCAGCCAAACTTGCTTTTTTAAGGGGATTATTTTTAAAAGGGAGAATTACAATTTGGTGATTTCTACTGCTGTTTGGGAGCCCAGGTATGGCACTGTGTGTTAATGCACTGTACTACAAAGTTACTTTGAGCCACAAGGTTGGCAGTTCAAGCTCACCAGCTGCTCCTAGGAAACGTTATACAGGGTCACTATGCGTTGTAATCGACTTGGCAGCACTAAACAACAACTGCTGTTTGAGTTGTGTGAGCATAACAGAATTTGGGACTCTCTTTGGTGCTTCTTCTATGCTTTTGTTATGCCTTCTCACTTTCTAAAAATTAAATATGTAGTAAAAGAGCTCATAATGACCACATCTTCTGATCTCAATAGTAGGTATTAATTATTCAGCACCTAATACATGTTGGGCTCTGTCTTATACATTCACCATCTCTAAATTTACTAGGTTGGCATTTTCATCCATTTTTACAGAAACACTGAGGCTCAGAAAACTAAAGCACAGAGATGCTAAAATTGATCAGCCCTTGTGTAGAGTGAGCACTGCCATTTCCCACTGTGTGTACTTGGCCAGCATGTACCTCACTGGCCTCATTAATAGGGGTCACTGTCACCTAGTGTACAGGGCTGGTGGGAGGATGAAAGAGCTGAGGAATCAGTCCAGCATCAGTACCTAGGAGCTCTCCTAAATGGTCACTGGTCACCCCGTGTCATGCTTCTGTGGATATGCAGGAAGTTGATATTCTCATGACTTGACACCTGCCTTGTTGCTTCTGGGCACCGTTGAGATGGTTTTGACTCATACAGAGCCTGTATAAGGTTTCCAAGGTTGCTAATCTTTACAGGAGCAGAAAGCTTCATCTTTCTCCATGGTGTACCTGGTGGATTCAACCTACTGACCTTGCAGTTAGCAAGCCAACATAAAAACCACTATGCTACCAGAACTCCTTGAGACCTTCCTTACTATACCCTAAAATAGTCATTGGGTACTAGGTGATGTGATAGTCAAGGTTTTGTATGAACTTGGCTGGGCCTGGATTCTCAGTGGTTTGACAGTTAAGACATAGTAACCCCCTCATCATGAGATTTTATATAATGTAATCACTCCCATGATGTGATCTGATGTCATCAGTCATGATCTAATTCTCCAATGTGTTGTCATTCCTCAGTTCTATGATGTCCTGGTGTGGTGCTGTAAGTTAATTCACTGATCTGCAAGATCAGTTTGAACCACAAGCTGAGTAGTTCAAGCTCACCAGTCGCTCTTCGGAAACCCTATACAAAGTTGCTATGCATCAGAACCAACTAGACAGCACTTAACAATAACAATGTGATGTTAATCAGGCTGGATGAAATCTACAGGATTAGGTTGTGTCCTGAGTCCATTTCTAGAGACATGAAAGAGATTCAACAGGCAAGCACAGTTCACAAGGACCTACTACCACCAAGAAACAAGAGCTGGAGTAGAGTGCGTCCTTTAGACCTGGGTGCCCTGCACTTGAAGTTTCCTAGATCCAGAGGAAGACTGATGCCAAGGTGCACTGAGATCTCCAAGGAAGGTTTGGCCTACAGATGCTGACAGGAGAGAAGGACCTTGTTCCAGAACTGACAGAAAGAGAAAGCCTTTCCTGACAGCCAGCACTCTGAATTTGGACATCTAGCCTTATAAAAGGAAAGGGAAGACATTTGTTAAAGGTATCCACTTGTGGAATTTCTGTTATAGCAAAACTAGATAGCTAAGGCAGGTGACAAGTCATATATTCACAGAAGTTTGGGGAACAGTGAAGAATTTGGAGATTCCAGTGGTACTCTGTTACTACCCACAAGGAGGAACAGCCCTTCTCCTCTGACTCTCTGATTCCTGGGTGTTTTCAGGGCACCAGAAACATGGGCTTAGCCTCCTCAGGTACGTGTCTCTCCTCATTAATGAATAAGTAATTTTACTCTTTGGACATTAGGTCATCTCCATTTTCCTTCCAAAACTGATACAAAAAAAGACCCATGTTCAGGGAACCTGACACTTTACTTTCAATTTCCAGACTTGGCACAGATTAAGCCATGCTGTAATATTCGTGGAAAGAATGAAAAATATGGATTACATTAATAAATTACTGAAAGAGTTCTGGATATAAATCGTTTCAGCTAAAGGTGGATGTGCATTTGTTTATTTCTGTTAAGCATCTTCTTTGTTCTGTCTGGAGTAGAAACGTGGTGCTTGCCTCACTGGATCCTCAAGCACACCTGGGGAGGAGGATGCTATAGTGCCATTTTACAGATGGGGAAGCTGGGATGTGGGGTGGCCACACCTCCAGTGGGCCCGTCCTCCCAGATTCCGCTTTCATGTTAATCCCACTCTGCCAGTTCTTCCCCTGCATTTACTTCTTATTAACAGTTTTTCTCAAATGAGAAAGCTTATGAGTGAGTTAGCTAACATGAGTTGATGAGTGCGACCAATTAGTGATTTTGTTCTGGTGCCAAACTTGGTGGAAAATCACCTGGTGCAGAGGAAAGAAGGGAGATTTTGAAATCAGGCTAGAATCCCAAGTGGAATTCCCTTCTCACTGTCTCACTGGGTCCCTGGTCAGGCACCTTCACCCTTGGAGCCACTGTTTCCTGCTGAGATGAGGACAGTGATCCCTTCCTCCCTCCCAGCAGGGTTAGAGAATATGATGCAGGAGGAGTCTGAACAGTGCCTCACGCTTATCAGTCACGGTGATGATGCAGTCATGTTTATTGCTTACAAATTCTCCTTCTTGTAGCCAAGCCCTCTGCCCCCGTGGTATTGGGCCCCTCGGTGAGGATCTCACCTGGGCAGACAGTGAGCTTCACCTGTGAGTCCCACGGCTTCTCCCCCAGAGATGTCACCTTGAAGTGGTTCAAAAATGGGAATGAGCTCCCAGCCCTCCAGACCGAGGTGGTCCCACTAAAGGACAGTGTGTCCTACAACGTCTCCAGCAAGACCCAGGTGATGCTGACCCGAGAGGACGTCTACTCTCAGGTTATCTGTGAGGTGGCCCACACTACCTTACAGACCTCTCTTCGTGGGACAGCCAACTTGTCTGAGACCATCCGAGGTAGATGCCACTCACACCCAGCCCAGACCCTTACCTGCCCCCAGGCTTGCTTCCCCTAGTTTGCTCCAGGGCTTTTACTGCCTGGAATCCAACTCCTAATCATCCCTCCCAATTACCACAAACTACAATTGCCAGTCAAGCTGCTAAACACTCATTTATTGCCATGTTAGTGGGGGCTTCCAGTTGAACATCTTCCATGCACCAAGCACAAGTGCTAGGTAGTTGCATTTATTTTACCATTAGCCATGGAGGTTACTGAGTACCAAATATATGCCAAGCCCCAATGAACTTGGTGACTTTATTTTCCTACAATTACATTCCAATTGCACGCAAGACATTGTGATTTTTTATTTCATTCATTACAATCATAAGAATTATCAGTGCATGAGCACCTACTTGTGTGCCTAGTGATTTTACTGAGGATGCAAAGAGGCTGTGTATTACCTGAGCACCTGCTGCATGCCTGGTGTTGCCCTCAGTGCTTCCCTTGCTGTGATGGTAGAAGCCACCCTTTATCCATTCCCCCTCTGTGTGATCTGTCTGTTCCACAAGGTCAGAGATTCTGCTCTGTGCTGTTTCAGTGCCACCTACCTTGGAGATCACCCAACTGACCATTCCAGGGAACCAGGTGAACATCACCTGCCAAGTGAAGAAGTTCTACCCCAAGAGCCTAGAACTGACCTGGTTGGAGAATGGCAATGTGTCCCGAACAGATTCAGCCTCGATTCTCACCAAGGACAAGGATGGGACCTATAATCTGAACAGCTGGATTCTGGTGAGCACATCTGCCCACAGGGAGGATGTGATGCTCACCTGCCAGGTGGTACATGATGGGCAGCCAGCCGTCACCAATAACCTGACCGTGAAGGTCACTGCCCCCAAGAAGGAGGTCCAGAGCACACAGACAACATCAGGTGAGACCTCCACGCAACCCCACTTAGCTTTTTTAAAATGTATCTTAATTTTATCTTTAATATTTTAATACTAAAATAGTTTATAATGCTACTTGTTGCTAGGTGCCATCAAGTTGATTTCCACTCACAGGGACTCCATGTGGCTGAGTAGAATGATCCCGTAGGGTTTTCTAGGCTGTAAACTTTGCAGCGCCAGATTGCCATATTTCTATTCTGTGGAGTCAGGGTTCAAACCACTGGCCTTTTATGTTAATAGTCAATGCTTAACTGTTGCTCTACTAGGGTTCCTTCATTCTTGCTTTTTTTAAAAAGCAGTCTAACCCAAAACAAAACCCCTTGTCATCCTGTAAATTAGGACTCACAGTCACCCTGTAGGACAGGTGACACTGATGCATAGGGTTTCCTAAGCTGTAAATCTTTATAGAAGCAGACTGCCACATCCGTCTCCTGCAGAGCATCTGGTGGGTTTGAACTTCCAACCTTTAGTTTAGCAGCTGAATACTTAACCACTGCACCAACTGGTCTCCTCTTACAAATAACAGGACTGCTTGTTTAAAAAGAGTCCTGGTGGTACAGGCTAACTGAAAGGTCACTGGTTCGAACCCAGTAGCTGGCTTAGCAAGAGAAAAAAGAGGTTGTCTGCTTCTGTGAAGATTTATACCCTTGGAAGTCCTGTGGATCAGCTCCACTCTGTCCTATAGGAAGGTCACTGCCAATGAGCCAATCCATCTCATTGTGGGTCTCCCTCTTTTCCTCTGATCCTCCATTTTAGCAAGCATAATGTCCTTCTACAGGGACTGGTTCCTCCTGATAATGTCTCAAGTATGAGAAATGAATCTCCATCCTAGCTTCGAAGGAGCAGGTTTTCTGTACTTTTTCCAATGCAGATAGATGTATTTGTTCTTCTAGCAGTTCAATTCTTTTATGATCTTCCTTATTCATTGTCCAACTTTCACATGCATATGAGGCTAGTAAAAATATTCTGGCTTGGGTCAGTCACACCTTAGTTCTCAAACTTATGTCTTTGCTCTTGAACATTTTCAAGAGGTCTTATGCAGCAGATTTGTCTACTGTAATACGTTGTCTGATTTCTTAACTAGTTTTCTAAGTGTTGATAGTGGATCCAAGGGTGAGGATCCGCATTGAGGTACAACCCATACTGAAAGCAGTAGTCTTTTAATCTTCATCAGTAATTATTTTAAGTTCTCTTCACTTTCAGCAAGCAATGTTGTACCAGCTGCATATTGCAGGTTGTTAATGAGTCTTCAATTTTTTTTTCATATAATCCAGTTTCTCAGATTATTTGCTCAGCATATAGATTGAATAAGTATGGTAACAGAATACAACTCTGGTGAGCACCTTTCTTGATTTTAAATCATTCATGGTCCCCTTGTTCTATTCAAACAACTGTCTCTTGGTCTATGTACAGTTTCCCTGTGAGCACAATTAAGTGTTCTGGAATACCAATTCTTTACAATGTTGTCCATAGTTTGTCATGGTTTACACAGTAAAAAGTCTTTGCATAATCAACAAAGCATAGGTAAACATCTTTCTGGTAGTCTCTGCTTTAAACTAAGATCTATCTTACATTGGCAGTGATATCCCTCATTCCACATCTTCATCTAAATCCAACTTGAACCTCTGGCCGTTCCCTGTCAGTGTGCTGTTGCAGACGTCTTTTAATGATCTTCAGAAAAATTTTTCTTGCATGTGATATTAATAATATTGTTCAATGGTTTCTGCATTCTGTGGGTCACCTGTCTTTGGAATGAGCACAAATATATCATCTCTTCCAATCAGTTGACCTGATAACTGTCTTTCCAATTTCTTGGTATAGAGAAGTGAGTGCCTTCAGTGCTGCAACAGGAAGATGAAAGATTTCCATTTGTATTCCATCAATTCCCAGAACCAATGCCTTCAGTACACCTTGGCCTTCTTCCTTCAGAATCATTGGCTCTTGATCATATGCTACCTCCTGAAGTGGTTAAACGTGGTCCATTTCTTTTGGGTATGGTGATTTCTGTGTATTCCTTCCATCTTCTTTTGATTCTTTCTGCATCGTTCAATATTTTCCCCACGTGTTCTTGTTCTTAGGTGCCATCGACTCAGTACTGACCCACAGCATAATGAAACACTGCCTGATCTTGGGCCAACCTAACTACTGTTGCAACGCTTTACTCTATCAATGCTGCCAATTGGCCAATCCATCTCTTTGGGGGTCTTCCTCTTTTTCTCTGACTTTCCACCTTAACAAATACGACATCCTTCTCCAGAGACTGGTCCCTTCTGACAACATATCCAAAGTATGAGAGACAAAGTTTGGCTATCTTGG